CCTACCTTCCCTATACCATATAATTCCCCATGTGGAACAAAGTTAGTTGTTTCTTCCTGAACAGTAGTGGAATACTTAGAACCCCTTGACAGTTTCTTCATCACCACTGTAATAACTTGGATATTTCAGCAGTTTAACATGGCAAGTTATAGTTTATTCATACTGCTTGGGGCTACCTGAGTTCACTGGATGTGTAAGTTGATGCTTTTTTAATGAAAAATGGGAAATTTTCAATATTTATTTCCTAAATACATTTTGTGCCCCATTTTCATGCTCTTCTCCTCTATAACTCTAATGATACCTATGCTAGACCATTAGCTGTTGTACCTTAGGTCCCTGAATCTCTGTTCATTTTTCTTCAATCTTCTTTCTCTAGGTTCCTCAGATGGAATAAATTTTATTTATATGCATCAGTTGACTGACTTTTCTTAATAGCGTAAGATATGATAAAACCAAGAAATTTTAATTATTGCTCGTTTCAGTTCTAGAATTTCCATTTAGCTCTTTTTATAGTTTCCATTTCTCTGCCAAATTTCCTACCTGTTTGTTCACTGATCAAGATCATAGTTTGTTTGGTTTAAGTCCCTGTATAAGTATGCACAAATAAGCCTTTGTCAGCTAAATCCAACACCTAGGCCATCTCAAGGTCTTTTTTCTATTGACATTATTTTCTTTGGATTATCGATAATATTTTTCCTGTTTTTTTCCTTTATTTGGATGTCTAATAATTTTGTATTATATATTGAACATTATTATCATACGATGCAGAGAATCTGGATTCTGCTTTGATCATCTGAAGAATGCCAAACTTTCAGGAAGTACAATTAATGGCTGAACACCATGACTGTTTTATTAGGATGAATTTGAGAAAAGCCCAAGGTGTTTCTCAAGCTCCTCTAGTTTGGCAGAATCAAACTTCATCTCCCCAGTACATTTTGTTGAGATCTAGTTTTAAATATGTTAGGGTTGATACAGAAAAAGCCTTGGGGAACCTGTGGCCTTCTCATTTCATGATTGTTCTTTTTTAAGCACCAAAGGAGAGAAGAAAAGCTTCAGCTTTCTTTGCTGCACACCTTTTAATAAAAGGATTTGTTCTATAAAATTTGCATTCAGTCAAAAGGCCACATGCAAGGATCCAGAAGGCCACATGTGATCCCAAAGCTACAGGTTCCCCAACCCTGCATGTGGTCCTTACTCCTAAGTTATGGACTTTCTGTTTCTCAGCTGGATGTCTATGATGTTAGTAACATCTCTCTGTTGTGCTTGGGACAAGGCTCCAATGTCCTCCAGGAACTTTAACATGTCTTTCCATGATTAGATCCCTAGTAGACACTCTCTGGTAAGTGCATAGAGTCCCACTTGTCACATGTGCAGTCCATCCCTCAGCCAAGGACTTGTGGGGAACTCACATTGAGAATTCTAGAACCCCATTTATTTCTGTGCAGCTCTCTCCTTTCTGGTGCCCTGCTCCAGATTCCAGCTATTTCATCAGCCTTAAACTCTGACTTCTGCCTTCTCAGTTCAGAGGCACCACTGTTTTTGCTTGTGTACTCCAGGCCCTTTTCACACAGTCAGGAAATTGTCCCTATGCAGAGAGCCAGGGCAAATGTGGGCCCTCTTCTTATGAATTTGCCTTCTGTCAATAATCACAGTCTTGCACTGCCTATATTGTCCAATACATGAAAACAGGTGCCTCATACTTTTTGTTCAGTTTTATCATTATGGCAGAAGGGTTAATCCAGAACCAGTTACTTCATCAAGGCCAGTGGCAGAAGCTTTTGTATATATTATTTTAAACTATTCTTATTCTCTCTCATTCTCTTAATTTATATTTCTCCTCTTCTATCCTCATCCCCAATCTGTGTAATTTATGAGCTTCAATTGAATGCATATATGGTGCTAAATAATTCTGATAGAATACCATAGAACTTTAAGATCTTATAATGATGATGGAACACTTTGAAAGTATCAACATTATTACAAGTTTTATAATTTCTGAAGTTTAAACAAAAATATTTTAAATTTATTTTTAAAAGTCTATCCTCCCATACTTATTTTCCTTTTTCATGAACAAGCAAAACATCATCAATGCCCTGCTACCATATTGCCTTTCATAGTCCTTCCTTTGTTAAAGTATGCTTGCACATTGTATTCAAGTCAAAATAAAAAGAATAGAAAATTCAGAAAACCTCAAATTATCAGAATTCTTCCCATTTCCCAATTTGTGAAGTTCGTTTGATGTCAAGGACATACAACCATCATAAGTATAAAAGTCTTCCTAGCTATATTTAAAGACTGTAGAAGCATCTACCTTCTCCCAGACAAACCACAAGAGATTTAAATGAGAAATCAAAGTAAACAATAAAGTTAATGAAGCATATTTTTGCCGAGCATGGGTTTCTCAATTGATCTAGATACTAGATATGCTCACTCAAATTCTTAGCGATAAACAGAGCTAACTAATCCATTAGGCACAGTTCCTAGGGCCCATAATACTTTTAAGGGCCCATAAAAATGTTTTCTTTTAAAATCAGAAGAATAACTTAAAATTTTAGGTCAAAGAAAATGTTTAATACACAATCTCAATATATACCAATATATCATAAAATTGTGTGTGTGTGTGTGTGTGTGTATGAACAGACATAAATTGAAAACTATTTTCAGATGTGCTAGGAATCTTAATCTCTCATAGAACCCAACACTGCCGTGTTCTCAGATGTAAGGCCCAAGGTATTTTTCCACTGGACTAGATGAGGCATTCTTCTCTCTAGGTTCTAGGAGGTGCTAATCTCATCCCTAACCATTTCCCTCTCTGATCTTTTTGGTTTGCCTGAACTGCATTCACTTGAAATTGGGCAGGCCAATAATTAAAAGATATTGGGCAGATAGTACTCTGGGTAGCTAGACATTTCTATGGCGTCTTTTAGGTTACCATGTAGTATATGTTATCTTCATGGTGGCTATACATCTGCTTTCCATTTGCTTTCAAGAATAGAAAGGTGGACTTGGTATCCCTTCCAATTTTAAAGCCCTCAATTTCTTTGAAGCAGCCCACAAAATAACATGTTCCTATCTAAGGAGTGGCTTCCCACCCACAGCCCATTTGCAGAGCCAAGATAATAAATAATTATTGAAAAAAAATTGTGGGTTCATTGAGAACATATAATCTCAAACCTTAGTTGACTTAGGCTAACAGTTTCACTAACTTTCCCAGGTTCTCTTAATTCTTATCATTCATAGCTGTTCAAGCAAGTGATTTCTGTATTTAAATCATCAGTTTCATAATGACAGAAATACTCTGATTCAGAGTGACCAACATACTTTTCAACAAGAGAAAAGGGCACTTAAGAGAATAAAATGATGTTTTCAACAACATTTAAAAGAAATCTTACATGTAAATCTAGTACTTATGATACTCAAAAACAGAGTGTTCTAGAGTAAAGCTTGGAATGAAAGATTGATAGCATGCTAGAATCTAACCATGAATCTTCTTAAATTCCTTTGCTTCAGTGAAGTTTAATTAGTTTAACCAGAAAGCCTAGATCCTAGCTATCTCCAGCTCCACAACTAGTGTACTCATTGGCAAAACATGTTGATATCAAGTAGGCTGCCTTAATTTAGTCTCAGTTCCCTCAGAAATAACATAGACATATAAATATAAACACTGACAATCTTTAATATACTATCACCATCAAATGAATAATTGTGCTTCAAAAGCACATAGTAAAATAAATTTATACTATCTTATTCTTATTCTTTTATTTCATCAAATGACACCAACATTCTTAAACTTCCTAGTCTGCTCTCCATTTGCCATAATTGTATCAATCACAAAGTCTGACTCATTCATTTGAATTTTTAAATATGTTTTATATATCAGACTTCAAAGTATAGTTGCCTCTTGAACAGCATGACTTTGAACTGCATAGTCTCCACTTATATGAAGATGTTTTCCAATAAATACATTGGAAACATTTTTGGAGATTTGTGACAATTTGAAAAAATACACAGAAGAACTGTGTAGCCTAGAAATATAAAAAAAAATAAGGGGCCGGGCGCGGTGGCTCACGCCTGTAATCCTAGCTCTCTGGGAGGCCGAGGTGGGCGGATTGCTCAAGGTCAGGAGTTCGAAACCAGCCTGAGCAAGAGCGAGACCCCGTCTCTACTATAAACAGAAAGAAATTAATTGGCCAACTAATATATATAGAAAAAAATTAGCCGGACATGGTGGTGCATGCCTGTAGTCCCAGCTACTCGGGAGGCTGAGGCAGCAGAATCGCTTGAGCCCAGGAGTTTGAGGTTGCTGTGAGCTAGGCTGACACCACGGCACTCACTCTAGACTGGGTAACAAAGTGAGACTCTGTCTCAAAAAAAAAAAAAATAAGAAAAAGATATGTCATGAATGTATAAAATATATGTAGATACTAGTCTATTTTATCATTTACTGCCATTTTATCATTTACCGCCATTATTTTATCATATGTACATATCTATTATAAGAAATTAAAATTTTTCAAAACTTACACACACACTTAGAGACTGTACATGGTGCCATTTGCAGTTGAGACATGTAAACAAACATAAAGATGCATTATTAAATCATCACTGCACAAAATTAACTGCAGTATACACTGTACAACTGTAATAATTTTGTAGCTACCTCCTGTTGCTATTGCCATGAGATCAAGTGTTTTAAGTATTCACCATGTGATGCTAATCATCTCCTCATGAGCAGTTCATCTCTCCAGTAAATTGAATATTGGTTGAAAAAATTCTGAGTACAAATGGACCCTCACAGTTCAAACCCATGCCATTCAAGGATCAACTGTATTTCCATAAAGTTACATGGAGTATACCTGACTATTCAGCTTCCCCTTTCATCTCCTCCACCTCTTCTGCTTCTGCCAACTTGATAAAGCAAGACTAATGTCTCCTCTTCCTCAGCCTACTCAATATCAACATGAAGATGACAAAGATGAAGATCTTTATGATGATCCACTTCTATTTAATGAATAGTGAATATATTTTCTCTTATGATTTTCTTTCTCTAGCTTACTTTATTATAAGAACACAGAATACAATATTTATAACATGCAAAATTTGTGTTAATTGTTTTTTATCAAAAGGCTTCCAGTCAAGGCTAGGCTATTAGTAGTTAAGTTTGGGAGGAGTCAAAAATTATTTGTGGCTTTCAGCTGTTCAGGGGGTCAATGCCCCTAGTCCCTGTGTTGTTCAAAGGTCAACTGTATTTCATTTGGATTACAGATTACAGGCTAAAAATGTGTTAAAACACCACTTTTCAGAAAAGATCAAACATATTCTATTTCATAGAACTTTTCATAATCAAATAAGTAAAAATCTCTGTCCTGCAATTTGTTTTATGGTCTAGAACAAAGGGTGGCACACTTACTCTGTAAAAGGCCAAATGTAAACATTTTAGGGTTTGTGAGCCATAGAATCCCTGTCAAAACTACTCAGGTCAACCACTGTACTATGAAAGCAGTCATAGACAATATGTAAACGAATGGGCACAGCAGTCCCATTAAAATATTTACAAAAACAGGTTGCCAGCCGGATTTGGCCTGCAGGCCATAGCCTGCCAACCCCTACTCCAGAACAGTACTTCTCAATCTTTACTATGCATACCTCTAATCACATGGGATCTTAATGCAGATTCTGATTCAGCAGGTCTGGGTGGGCCCTGAGATTCTGCATTTCCAACAATCTCACAATTGATGTATGGTGATGCTGCTCTGAGGATCATATATTTGAACAGCAAGGTTCTGAAAGCTCTATGAGAAGAGAGGTCCTATCTAATTATTTACTGTGTAGCCTCAGTGCCTAGAACAGTGCCTGACATACGAGGTTTGTCTGGAAAGTATCCAGCCATGGAATAGGAAAAATAGAGACATTTATTGAAAAAGATACAAGAAACACTGTACATAGGAAAAAGATTGCTTAGCTATTGAAAGTAGGCACCTTGGGACCTCACACAGTTCTCCCAGGGTCTCCTAACCTAACCCATACATGTTCAATATTCTCAGGTGTTCTTCTTGTTGCAGGCCTTCCAGAATGTGGATCCATTCAACAGATTCTCGGCCATCTTTGAAGCGGTTGTGCCACACTTTTATTTGTGCTGCACTCATTGCATCATCCCCAAAAGCATTCTGAATCATCCAAATCCACCGAGGAATGTTCATTCTAGCTTAACGCAAAATTTGATAAAAAGACTCGTCACTCTACTCGCACAGTCATTTTGACTGTGATGGTCATACAGTATACATGTTCACCCAACAGCAATTAGCACCCCACTGACTACTACAGTGAAATTGCCATTGTTCACACATGTGCATTCCAGTCTACTGTCCTTGGCCGCCAGGTTATATCAATGTTGCACAAACCATTCTGATTACATTAACAATGGTTGGACACTTTCCAGACAGATCTCGTATAATAAAGTACTCAATAAATACTCAAGGAACAAATGAATAAATAAAGAATAAGATTCTTATAGAATGTCATGCTCTGCCTTATGTCATTATTAAGTATGCTATTCTTTATGGAGCTCATTCTTCTTTATGTTCACCTTAGCATTCAAGCTTACCAAATTAAGAGTGTCTTTAACATTCCTAATAAAGGTTACAAATTCAGTCTGTACTCTTGGTTCATGTACACAGAACAAGAGCTAGTTCTTCATCAATTCACCCTAAACTCTTATGTTCATCCACAAGGATCATCTTTTATTTCCTTAAGCATTTCATATTCTTTATACTTCAAGGCCTTTGTATATATTCCTTTCCCTGATAGGAACATCCTTCCCTAATCCTTCAAGTCTAAACATAAATATCACCTCTTTGGAGAGCAGTGCAGTAAGTGCTCTTACCCTTACCTTATCCCTCCTTTCTTGCTGCAAATGCAGTTCTCTGTCTCAGCCCTGTGTGTCTTCTTCAAAGCACTTATACTTTATAGTCACAGCAATGTGTTGCTTAATGTCAGGGATATGTTCTGCAAAGTACATTGTTAGGTAATTTCCTTGTTGTGCCAACAACATAGAATATATTTAAATAAACCTAGATGGCATAGCCTACTACACACCTAGAGTATATAGTATATAGCCTATTGCTCCTAGGCTACAAAACTGTACAGCATGTTACTATACTGAATACTGCAGACACTGTAACACAATGACAAGTATTTCTGTATCTCAATACATTTAAACATATAGGCCATATATGGTAGCTCACACCTGTAGTCCCAGCACATTAGGAGGATTGCTTGAGACGAATCTGGGCAGCATAGCGAGATGGCATCTCTACAAAAAAATTTTTAATTAGCCAAGTGTGGCAGTGTGCACCCGTAGTCCTAGCTACTTGGGAGGCTGAGACAGGAAGATCTCACTAGAGCCCAGGAGTTCAAGGTCACAGTGAGCTATGATTGCACCACTGCACTCCATCGTGGGCAATAGATCAAAACCTCATCTCTTAACAAAAAGAAAATCCACATAGAAAAGGTATAGTAAAAATACAGTATGAAAGAGAAAAAATGGTACACCTATATAGAGCACTTACCATGAATAGAGCTTGTAGGAGAAGTTGCTCTGGGTGAGTCAGTGACTGAGTGGTGAATGAATGTGAAGGCCTAGAACACTACTGTATAGTACTGTAGACTTTATAAAACTGTATACTTAGGCTATACTAAATTATTAAAATAATTAAAATTAAAATAATGCTAATTATTAAAAATATTTTTTCTTTCTTCAATAATAATCTTAGCTTACTGTAACTTTTTTGCATTAAAACATTTCAGGCCAGGCGCGGTGGCTCTCGCCTGTAATCCTAGCTCTTGGGAGGCCGAGGCGGGTGGATTGCTCAAGGTCAGGAGTTCAAAACCAGCCTGAGCAAGAGCGAGACCCCGTCTCTACTATAAATAGAAAAACAAACAAACAAAAAAAAAAAAACATTTCAATTTTTTAAAACTTTCTGACTCTTGTAGTAACACAGCTTAAACACAAATATATTGTACAGCTGTATAAAAACATTTTCTTTCCTTACTTCTATTAGCTTTTTCCTATTTTTGAATTTATTTTTATTTTTAATTTTTTTGTTAAAAACTAAGACAAACATACACATTAGTCTAGGCCTACACGAGGTCAGAATCAACAAGATGTCACTAGGCTACAGGAATTTTTCAACTCCAGTATAATTTTAGGGAACCACCCTCATATATGCAGTCCTCATTGACCAGAACATTGTTATGCAGTGCATGACTGTATTTTATCTACTAATATGATGACTTTTTAAGTTCCATTTACTCTATTAGAATGTAAGCTCAAGAACTATATTTTACCTCATTCACCACTGAATCCCTACCAATTAGCACAGTTCCTGACAAATGTAGGTGACAAGTTTATATTTATTGATTGATATTTATTTATTGATTGAAAAGATAATTATTTATATTCATAAAGAACTTCCTTTGTTATCCTATTTTTATAATGCAGGTACCTCTTCAGGTATCTACCCAGCTTAAAAATACTGCCTTTTATCTCAGCAAGGCCACAGCATCCAAATTTGTACTTCATTGTGCTGCCTTCTTGACAATAGCTAATTAGATCAAGAGTGGACATCTGACCCAAGCTGGCCTACATTCACTCTCTCGGTATTTTTGGAACTGGGATTAAGACTCTAATGTCTGTATGCTGGTCATGCTAACTGATCAATTAAAGAGTAGTGGTGGATAATTATACTTGGTCATGTACATCTGAAAGTAAACAAAATCCATAAAGTGTAAAAAAGGAAGAAACAAGTGTAAAAAAGGAAGCAACCATAAAAGATAAGGAGAGTACTACCTAAGTTCCCAATGGCCTTACTGATGGCAATTTCAAATTCTGCATGAAGCCAAGCTGTTCTTTGAGATTTCAGCAATAATCCTAGTATCCTTATACATTTCTATTTTTAAACAGATGAAAATGGGTTTCTGATATATACAATGAAAAGAATACTAAAAATATGACAGTATTTTTCTAACTAAACATATGCAGTTCATAAAGACCATATAGAAGCAAAAACATAGCCAAGAAAGTGTATCAAAATTATGAGGAAATTGTTAAATTGAAGAACCCTCAAGTTTCCAATAAGTAGAGTCTAATAATCAAAGGTATGAACATTACAAAATAGATTATATTTTACATGAAAGGATAAACACTATCAACAGATAAAAGTTTCTATCAATACAAACATATCCTAAAACAAAAAATACTTCTATAATTTCTCCAGGGAAAAATTTGCCATCAATGGACTCTTAGTTACAAAATTATTCAAAATGCCTCATGCTAGGTTGCTGCCCCTAAGTACATTCTCAAAAGTAAAAAGTAAACAATTCTTGGAATTAACTGATTGACATAAATGTTTCTTTAACTCAAAAGAAACAGGAGAAGAAAGAGAAATGGTGTGCAATATTTGGAGCAAAAATGAACTTTAGAAGAAAGGAAGGATAAGAAAACATCACACCCAACTGGAATTCTGTTACTCATACATACAGGGAAGGAGACATGAAAAGCAGTAGGACTGAGCCAATAGCCTCCCTAAGAATCTTCTATGAGCCAATCACCTCAAAATGTGAATCAATTCTGGTCATCCTTGCAGCCAACTATTCCTATTTAGTTTTTTAAAAAATAATTGCTAACTGAATAATCCATGTTTTTGTTGGGAAGTTAAAATGGAAATGACAAAATCCTAGCAGTTTTCTTTTATAGCCCTATTCAAAGTATCCATTATTTTTCAAGCAGCAAATGAAAATGTCAAAAACATTCTTGCTGTAGATATTTAGTTGTTTTCTGCCAAATTAATGAAAGGAAAATATTGCACTTTGAATTGGTTAATTACCATGAATCCTTCTGCAAAGGGCTCCTGCTTGCAGAATTAAGCCAGCTTTAGTTGGCACACTGCCCTAAAATTCATGGAGACTAGACTATAGGCTCCACTGTGCTCAAGAGACATTTAGCTTTTGGCATCATTCATCAGCTTACAAATCATCAGTCCTAACCACTATAGACATTCAACTGTCTGAAATAAACAGGGCAGAAAGCACCTGCATTTAATGGGGATGTACCACATTCTGCTTCTTTGAAATTGTAAGAGCTAGACCTAGAATACAAAATGAACAAGAATACCGTGATTTATATATCTTCTAGAAACTAGAGCTACTTCAACAAAAATCCTCTGGTGACAAAGCTACTTCAAGGAAATACTCTAGGAACAAGGCAATTTCAAGCAAGGGAGAACTTGGACAAGTTATTTTTCCTCAGTTTTAGGCCAGGGTTAATGAACTTATTTCAGGTATGGCCTTCCTAGGCGTCCACACAGATCTCACACCTCCCCATTTCCTAGGATTTGCGATATAAGCATTGATTTGCATATTTCACAATCTGATAAAATATCCATTGCATTATTCAAGCCTAATTCCATCTCTCTTTTCTCCCTTCTTCTTGTAATTCCCTTCCCTACAGAATTTGCAAGACTTGGAATGACCTCTGTCCATGCCAAATGACATATTAGACATAAATTTTCTTTAAAATTATATAGGAAAATATTTCTCAACTTTTTGAAAAATATATTCCACCAATCCTTCTATGTGGGAAAGAATGAGTAGAGAGATGGAAATGGGAAAAAAACAATGATTTCACTCTTCCTTTTCCTCTCTATCTCTCAATAGAATAAAAGATCCAAAATCAAGACAAATAAATACTGTTAAACCTAAGAATGCAAGCAGGCTTCTCCAAGATGTTCTCCAAGTGGTCATGAGTAAACAATGCTAGCTCCAGTGTGTTACCTCCTCATACACAGTCTTGTATCAGGGAATGTGAGCACAGAGGCCAACAGTTGATCCTTCAAAGGGTCACTCAATACCAACTACAACATTCATGTACTTTCACATCTACATATTATGGTAAATATAAAATTAGCAAGCAATATTTTTTAGGACTGACAAAATAACCCCTACAAATCCCTAGTCAAAAACATTTAGAAGACATTAGACATTCAGGCTTTTAGAACTTGATATAAGAAATCTATATCTATCTTTAAACAAATTGAAGCTTGTCCAGAAGGATAACAAGGATGCTTAAAGAGTCTAGAAACCATAAGAAATACAGTATAAAAACAAATTTAAAAAAAGGAGAAAAAAGAGAAATGAGGAACAAAGAACAGAAAGGACAAAGAGAACAAATAGCAAGATGACACACAAAAGGAACTATCAAAAATCACAGTAGTAAATGTAAATAATCTAAACAGTTCAGTGAAAAGGCAGAGATTAACAGACTCCTGAAAAAGCAAGACAGAACAATATGCGGCCTTTGAGAAATATACATTAAATATATAAACATATAGGTTAAAAGCAAAAGAATTGAAAAATATATATCACACTAATACTAGTCAAAAGAAACCTAGAGTGGCTATACTAATATCAGAAAAGTTGATTTCAGAACAGAACTATCAACAGGAATACAGGGAAAAATTTCATAATGATAAAATGGTTAATTCATCAAGATGACATAATAATTCTAAATGTTTTTGTACCTAAAAGCAGAGCTCAAAATACATCAGTAAAAACTGATGGAAAACAAGATATACAATATTCTGTCCATAAAACAAGTCTCAAATTTAAAAAGATTCAAGTCATATAGAGTATGTGATTTGTGACAACTGAAATAAATTAGAAAACAAAAACAAAGATCTCTAGAATAACCCCAAATATTTTGTAACTAAATAAGAAAATTTTAAATTAAACCAAATGTCAACAAAGAAACCAAAGGGGAATTAGAAAATTAAACTTTGAAAATATAAAATTTGTGGGATGCAACTAACAGTACTATCTATATTAGAAAAGAAGAAAGGTTTCAACTCAATGGCCTCTGCTTCTACCCCAAGAAATCAGAAAAGAGCAAATCAAGCTTAGACAGAAGAGAAAAAGTAAGGATCACAGCCAATTTTAATAAAATAGAACACAGAAGAATAGAAGAAAAAATCAATGAAAACAGAATGTCATTTTTTGAAATGGTCAATAAGATTGATAAATCTCTAGACAGACTAACCAGAAATTAAAATAGCAATTTCAGTAAAGAGAGGTGACATCACTACAGAATCTACAGATAATATGGAAACATTATAGCAACTTTATGCCAATAAGTTTGACAACTTAGAAGAAATGACCAATCCCTTCAAAGTCTCAATTTACCTAGGCTCACTCAAAAAGAAACAAATAATGTGAATATACCTAAATATATTAAATAAATTGAATTTGTAGTTAAAAAAC